AATCATATTCGTCCGAATATTCTCTAAATATTACAGAAAATTATGAAAATAAAAGGGATATTCCTATAGTTAATTTTAAAAACTGTTCCAAAGTTACCATTAATTATAACTTTAATAAGTAATTCAATTTTATTGTTATTTCAAAGATGTAGAAAATAGAAAACTTGTTCACCTGTTATTGTCATTAAATAATATTGTTGGAAATTTAAATAAATTTACAAAGAATGTTTTTTATTTTGTGATATGCAGTCGTAGAAAAAGTATAGTGTGCAACACGTTTGAAATCGGCTCTTTGCACACTCGTGTGACTTATTGCACTCGCCTACGGCTCGTGGCAATAAACCGTCACACCCGTGTGCACAGATTAACCCGTCCTAAAGATAGGAAACTGGGGCCTTTTTCCCTATCTTTCTCTTACTCATGCAGCGAGTTGCATGACTGCCACAGCATGGTGGCGCCAGTGTGCACTTCGGTGTGTCCAGTATTGTGGCAGTAGTCACGTGATTCCCGCTTTCTTTCAAATAATTTGTCTAATCAATTTCATTCCATTATTAAACCCTATTTTTTGAAAATAAAACAACAACATTTCAGTACTATCTCCTTCTTTAACTTTAACACAACAACAGAAAACCGTATTGAAAAAAAAAACACTAAAAAGTTGATGGGTCTAAATAGTGCACAAATAACTTTATCAAAAATTGCAAATAAATACCATCACTAAAACCATTTCCACAATGTTTACATGTAACATAAAGTCTCTTTGGTTAAAAACATATTAAGAAGTCAAAGTTTTACCAAAAATTGATAGAAAATCAAATAAAGAACACCATAGAATAAGAAGAACACTAACACACATCAAACGGCTAACTAATGGCAAATACAATGACAAATTACATTCTTTTACAGATGACATTTGCTTGTGGCTTTGCTATACTAGCGCCGCATAGCTTTGGCAGTCATGAAACTCTCATACGTGCAATTTTTTAGACAGCTCCGAACGAACATTTTACATAGAAGTTTCCTATCTTTAGGACGAGTTAATCTGTGCCCGTGTGCAAAGAGCCTTTTTCAAAACTTATTACACAATATACTATTTTTTTGATGTAAGATTTATTCATTAAACAGATGGGTGTGAATTACTATACTTTGTTTTTCTCCAAGATAGGTTTTGACATTGAAAACTTTGAAACATAAACAATAACGCTTGACCCTGATTGGTCGCAAAATGAGGTGTTTCTGCAGGTTGACATCCGGTTTTTTAATAGCGGCCAATAAGTGGCATTAGCGGCATTGTTTATGTTTCAAAGTTGACAATGTCAAAATCTATCTTGGAAAAAAATAAAGTGTAGTATCGACTCACCTGTTCAAACCTGCCAACCCGATAGTTATGCCAGGAAAAAAATAGACAATCCAACGTTTTTATTCTTTAGGCCCTATACTTTCGATTAGTATGGCATTTGTTCGTTAAACAAACGAGTGCAATGCCTTTAACAATTATAATTTTTGAATTATTTATTAATAATAGTCTGGCCAGGAATTTTTTAGCCAACCCACACCTGATATTTTTTTTAACATACTAACTTTGATATAAAATAATTTTTATCCAATAAACAGATGGGTGCAAATCCTTTCCTATTCGGATCTTAGACTATTAGGCGGTTACACACGGACGTGGATGTCTGAAAACATGTACGCACATACATGAACGTGCAAACAAAAACATCAATGTGTATGCAAAATATCGTCGCGTTTTTGAATGTGCAATTTTGTATGCATACTCGGAATACTGTAGCAAGAATAGCAAGACTGCAGTTTTGTGCGAGCGTCTGTACAAAAGCGCCATGCACGTTCTTGGTTGCACGTTGATGTATGCACGTATATGTATTAAGACATCCACGTCCGTGTGTAACCGCCCATTAAATGTTTGTCTTTTTGTTCCAATTATTCAGCAGCAGTGGCGGATTTACGATTTATGGGGCCCTACGCTACATAACTTTTGGGGCCCCTACCCCCTACTAAAACAAATATTTTCATTTTAGAATTTATTGATAAATTAAAAGAAAATCGAAACGAAGTTCTAAAAGTACAACCGAAAAAAATCATAACAGTAAAAAAACTAAAAACTAGGTACTAGGTAGTAGCATTGTGTAGGGATATAAGTGACATCGAGAACTATCGTGGTATTTCCATCTTATCTGCTATTCTTAAACTTCTCGAATCTATTCTAACTGACAAGATATTCACGACTTACAACAGATACTTTAACTCTGTTTATCATAACTTATACCGAAGACGTTCTATAACAACCAACCTTGCAGTCTACCAGAACTTTTTGGTCACCTCAGTTGAACAGGGACATCAAGTTGATTCTATTTATACTGACTTATCCAAGGCCTTTGACAGCATTCACCATCAGCTCCTCCTCAAGAAATTGTCAGAAATTGAGATAGGTAATTGGAAACTATTACAACGGTCGAAATTTGATCGTGGCGCCATCTAAGACAAAAATTCAACACTAAACAGCAATTTTTGCTGTAATTTAGTGATTGACTATCTAATCGGCCGGTTTGGTTTGGTTTTCTTTGCTTTTCCTAGCCATACTGATGAGACCTGATGGAAAAGCAGAGAAAATCAAGCCAAAATTTTCTCATCAGTAGATAATAGGTTTTCCTATTCTGGGTTTTCCCACGAACTGAATTTTGGTCGGCCGATTAGATAGTCAATCACTAAATTACAGCAAAAATTGCTGTTTAGTGTTGAATTTTTGTCTTGGATGGCGCCACGATCAAATTTCGACCGTTGTACTATTTGTATTTTGCCTTCAGGCACAAAACTTGGTTTGGTTTTCTTTGCTTTTCCTAGCCATGCTGATGAGACCTGATAGGTCGTCGGTCGAAACGCGTCTATGGATGGAAAAGCAGATAAAATCAAGCCAAAATTTTCTCATTGGAAACTATCTCAGCTGAATTCAATCTTACTTTGGTGATCACCGGCAGCGAGTTGATGTCGCTGGTACACTATCCAGTAAAGTAATGGTTACCTCTGGTGTCCCTCAAGGATCTCACCTGGGACCTGTCCTGTTTCTCTCTGCATCAATGACGTAACGTTTTCTCGTGTCTTGTTGTATGCCGATGATCTGAAATTTTACAATAAGGTATGTGTGGACCATAAGCGATTGCAGGATGACCTTGACAAGTTTGTATCTTGGTGTTCCCTCAATCACCTAAAGATTATTTTTCCTAAATGCAAATCCATCAGTTTCTTTAAGTGTGAAAATCAAATTGTTCGTAACTACACCATAAACAATCAACTCGTTAGCTCAGTCGATTCATTCAATGATTTGGGAGTGGTTTTCCAGAAAGACCTGAGTTTCAATTTGCATGTTGAAAACGTTGTAATTAAGGGCCTTAGAATGCTGGGTTTTATAAAAAGGAATTCCAAATATATAATGGATACCAAAGCAGTATGGTGTCTATATTACTCCATTGTCCATAGCACACTAGAATACTGCTAAACTATTTGGACCCCCAAATACACTATCCACAAAAGCAGACTAGAAAGGGTTCAAAATAAGTTCACAAAGTACCTTCTATACTAGGCACCATTTTCCTTCAGACGGACTAACTTATGAAACTAGGCTAATGCTTTGTGGACTAAAAAGTCTTGAACACCGAAGAATAGAAGCTATGTTTATTATGCTTTACAAGTTGTGCAATGAGATAATCGACTGTGACACCTTGCTAGGCTTACTACATTCAAAAGTTCCCTTAAGACGCACCAGGCAACAAACTGTTTTATGAAGGACAACATCGTACCAACTATGGCCAAACTGCTTTCTTCGACAGATTAGTGGTTAACTACAACCGTTTCTACTGCAACTGTGACTCCTATTCATGTCTCGTTTTATATAACTTTGTCTATCTGTTTTTATCAGAATTTTTATGCGGCTTGACTTTAACTGACATTGCTTCTGTATGTTATCTGCATATCTATATGTTTTTATTATTGTGCAGTATTTTATTTTGTTTTTTACTTTTGATTATTTTGAGGAACTACCATTTAAAATATATTATTATTCTGTAGTGTATGCTTGAGATAAATAAATAAGTATAAAATATGGACATATAAGAAAGAACTAAAAATCACAAAAGCATTTTTTTTTTCTTCCTAATTTTAATATCGGCAAATTCTCTTATCGCATAATCGTTATTCAGTTGTAATTTCTATTTTTTTATTTTTTTTTTAAAGATTTAAATTACTTCAACATATTTTTTTATAAATCTGGAATTTGGAGTAGGTACCTATATTCCTGAAATGTAAGCAGGGCCCCTGCGGGGCCCCAGGCTGCCCGGGGCCCTACGCTGCCCGGGGCCCTACGCTACAGCGTAGTTAGCGTATGGGTAAATCCGCCACTGCTCAGCAGTACAAAAATCACTTTCACGGCCTAGGCCGGAAAAGTGTTTCCCGTATTGTTATTCATTGATTCCTTAGCAACTATTGAAACATAATTGAAATACCAGAATATTGAGCTTTGCGACCTGTCAGCCGGTCAAAAATGCTGACATTTCTTGTCAATCGCAGAAAATAGTATATTGTGTATTTAGGTGGAAAAGTGACACATTCTCGGCCGACGGTGTAAGTTGACGGGCGAGGCGTAGCCGAGGCCGGCAAACACCGAAGGCCGAGAATGTGCCTTTTCACCGAAATATACATACTATTTTTTCTGCGATCGGTTAAATACCTGTTAAATGTTTGTCTTTTAGTTCCAATTATTCAGCAATACGAGAATCACTTTCCCGGCCTAGGCCGGAAAAGTGTTTCCCGTATTGTTATTCATTGATTCCTTAGCAACTATTGAAACATAATTGAAATACCAGAATATTGAGTTTTGCGACCTGTCAACCGGTCAAAAATGCTGACATTTCTTGTCAATCGCAGAAAAAAATATTTCCAGTAACATTATTTTTTTGCCAATTTGTTTTTTTTCCTGTAATACTCACATTGATAAACTCCCGTTTTTTTTCCACATCTATTTTCTCATTATCAAAATAGAAGTTTATTATTTTCTTAGTAACTCTGTCCACATCTGTGGCGGTTTTGTCATACATTAAACTGATTGGCAGCAATTTTTCAAAGTTATCACTTAACTCCTGCAAGAGATCTTCATTGTTTAAAAGAGCTAGAAAAAAATCAATTATAAACTAAATTGTAGGATGTTTTGTGGCAAACCTGCTCCTCTCAAGGCACCATCCTCAGTCGTAATACCAACAATCAGTGGTATCTGAGCACTTTTTCCAGCTTTTACAATGTCGATAGGATGTTCGGTCAGAAAAGCTCCTTCTACTTCAGGCTCGATGGTGGGTTTAAAGGGAATCATTGGATCAAAATCCCATTCCTAAAGAAATAGAGCAATGAGAATCTATTTCTCTGCAAAGTTTTCAGATCTTGCCATGAATAGAACATCATGTTTAACAATTTCCATTGCATCTACTTGTCTCAAACACTCCACCATATTTTTCGTGGACTCTGTAGGACAATCAAAAGATTTTGCTAATTTTTTTGAGTTTTCAATTCCCTCTTTATTCGGAGCTAAAGCCCAGACACATAAAGCGGTGCCACTCATAGCGATACCCTTGTGAAATAAACCTAAAATAAAACGTGTTTCCTTGGATGTAGGAAGTATGTTATTTTGATCATATTTTTCAAGGAAAATAAATCCATTAAACCAGTAGCGGTTAATCATCAGCATCCAATTGCATTCTACCGTATATGACACTTACACGGAATCACTTAAAATCTCATTAATTAGCAGCAAAAACTAATAGTTGTGTAATTATTTTATCTCTACTGTCTAGATTGATTTTAAAATTATGTCATTTGCGTATGAAGCCAGTGTATTAATTTTATTATCACATATTTTCTAAACATGCAGAATAAATTATATTTAAAAGAAAAGCAGGATTGGATTGAATCAGTTAAGCGAATTTTGCTCTTTAGTTGGAATGCCTGAAAATGTTCTCTAAGCCGAAGAAAATTACGGCCCTGATACGAGTAAGTACAATATTCCGCAATTTCGAGCAATTTGGCATCATACATTGCAAAATTGGCCTTGTGTTAATAGCCAACCTGCCTATAATAGTTTATTAGACGGTGTTCGAGATAAGGCTCAAAGAGACTATTAAAATTAATTTTGCATGTTCAGGTACATATTTTAACGGCGTGTGAAGTAATTTAATGGAAGTATTATTTACCAATAAATCAGCAATATGACAAATCAAATTATCAAATTATGTTTACCTTGACTCATTGTTGATACCATGTGATAGTGAACACTCGCACCTCCAGCCGATTCACCAAAAATAGTGACAATTTTTGGATTACCTCCAAAATATTTTATATTTGCTTGGACCCATCTTAAAGCTAGATTTTGGTCCTTCAGTCCGTTGTTTCCCGGTACCACTTTGTCACCGGTACTGAGAAATCCTAAAGCACCTAAAAAGCGATTACATTTTGCAGGAGAAATAATAGCATGCAATCAAATTGAATATTGATACAATTATAAGAAACGATAATTAAGCCAATACTTATTTATCATCTAAATCATCTACATCTACACGTGGAATTTTTCTAATAATTGCAGAAAAATGTGATTCAATTATTAATTAGAATTTAGTGCTCGTCATAAGAAAAAAAAACTGGGAAATTTTTTGATGCAAATTATTCGTAGATTTTCCATCATGATTTCTTTTCTTACTTACCCAATCTATAATTGGTAACAACCAAAACAATGTCCCTGTCTAATAATATATCTGGACCGTACCACATAGTATTACCTCCGCCACACAACCAACCACCTCCATGAAAGAATACCATGACTGGCAAAGGAGCGTCATTTTCTTTAGTCGGCTTCTAAAAACAAATTTTACGTTTTAGTCCAAAAAGCCTGTCGGAGGACAGAAAAGGTTTACAAAGACTAAATGCATCAATTTTGCTTTCTTAGTTAAAACTGATGTCTGCGTTCTTTGGCATCTCAGAAAACGCCTTTCATTGACTATTTTCCAAATGATGCTTCTTGACGGAGAAGCATCTTTTGGCACTTTTACTTAAATTGTATTGTAACTATTTTCATTTTGAATATTGCATTTTACGAAGTCCATCAGTGATAACTATAACCTATGGTTTTTCTGTTTTGGTGGCAGAAGTTCAGTTCAACCAATTTTCGTCAATTGTCACTTCGAAATGGCTTATTCTTCAACTGGCTGGTGGCCAATTGCAGAAATCTGAAGGACCTTACCGATAGCATCTGTGACGCAGCAGCGTTCAATGTTGAAACTTCCTTTGAAACTTCCATGAACATCATGAGATAATATTACAGCTTGGTTTCATAGAACGAAAAAAATTTGAATTTACTCCAAAAGATCGAAAATATCAGTGATGAACAAATTTCTCAAAAATGCTCCAGATAAAAATACCTAATTTAAAGTTGGTAAAATTTTTCAATGTTGCTTGCAGAAGTAGAAGCTGACAAAATTGTTACAAAGCGACATCGAAGAAAAATAGGACAGAATTAGAATCTCAAAAAATCTTGCCTGAAGAAGTTTTGAGGCGTATGATCTAAAGAAGAAAGGATTGAGCCATATTAATTTATACCGGAGATATCATTGTGACTGTTATTGGTATCAATCCTCGGGAAAATGTCTGGTAACATAGCTGGCTAATATCTGCACCTTCCGAACCCTAGCTTCTAAACTCTACTACAGGCAGTGCTATGACCATGACGATCATCGCCCGTTATGTTGGTCAATGCTGGGACAAAGGGCAAATGTTTTACTCTTCTATGTCTGAACGGTATTGCTACTTCAATATAATTGTTTCCCCGTTTATAAATGCAACGGAGACGTTTTCATTAAATTAAGAAGAATGAGGGTAGAATTTAAAATGATTATTGAGGAATTTCCTGAACAAAAAATAGTACGTTGGCACGATTGGAATATTCTGAATACATTATGTAATAATGGTTCCATAGAAATGAGAGATGGAAGAAAAGAAAAACAGCAAGCTTCGCTACGAGGATTCAATTCCAGTGAACACATCGAAAAAAAAAGGTTGTTTTTGAAAATACGCAAACAAAAAGGAAAAAATTGCGAATTACAGTTTCGTCGTGATGGTCGAAGCGAAGATATACCTATAGAGCTTGGAAAATGATGGTTATTTGAAATGAGTTGGGTAAGACCCAAAAATCCTTAAGAATTCTAAAATCCATGACACAGTTAAGAAGAAGGCCAGCGCATGTATGAGAGACATTATTACATCGAATGAAGTCAGTGTGGATGAAAAGTGGAAGCAAATACAAACAGGGCTAGAAACAATAATTCATCTAAGAAGCAAAAGAATCAAGAATAATCCCTGGATAACATCAGGAATTTCAGATCTTATGGAAAAAAGGAGAGATAGGCGAGAGAGGAAAGGTAATAAAGATGAGTACAGGACACTACATAAAGTAGTAACTACAAAAAAAATTTAAGGAAGGAAGCAAAAGAAGAATACCTAGTAGCTCAATGTGAGGAAATAGAATTTAGAAAAAAAAATTGACAGCTTTCCCATGCACAAAAAGATAAAGGAAATGGCTGGATGCAGCAGGGTCAAGCCAGCTAGTAATATTGTCAAGAATAACGTATGGGCGTATAATAACTGACGTGGGAGACAAACTTAAAAGGTGGAAAGCATACCTGTGGGAACTCTTCGATGATGAAAGACTTCCAAAACTCAAAACCGGTCTTAGAATCAAGGAAGACATATGCAACACACAGTTTGGATTTCGCAAAGGACTTGGAACACGAGAGGCGCTTTTTGGGCTTAACGTTTTTTTCCAGCGCTGTCTCGATATAAACCAAAAGGTGTATGCATGTGACATCGATTTCGAGAAAGCCTTTGACAAAGTGAAGTATGACAAGTTCCATCGTTGCTGAAGAGTAGCAGCAAAAACATTGACTCGGACGACGTTGGAGTTATTGGTAATATATATTGGGGCCAAAAAGATACAATGGTAGATAACCAATTAACAGAAGAGATGGAGATTCGTCGGGGTGTGAGATAAGGTTGCATTCTATCGCCGCTTCTCTTTAACCTATACAGAGTGTACCATTTACGAAAAAAAAGGCTGAACATCTGATGCCACGTTTATTTTTTTGAAAATCGCTTGTACACGTAATTTGATTTTCGACCGCCTGTTCCATTTGGAATGGTAAGGGTTGGTCCCACCCCACCTAGAGGGTTAAGTTAGTGCTGAAAATGTTGCAAACACTCACACAATCAAATTACGTGTACGAATTATTAAAAAAATAAATAAAAGTGACATCAAATATTTAGCCTGTTTCGTTTTAAATGCTATACCCTGTATAGCGAAGCTACTTTTAGGAAAACCTTAGATGAGTTAGTGTGAATAGTTAAAAATGGAGAAGTGATTAATAATATGAGACATGCTGAGGACACCGTCTTGTTTACGTGCAATCTTGAAGTCACACAACACCTCTCAGAAAAACTAAATGATCGATGTAATGAATACGGACTAAAAATTACCTTTAAGAAAACGAAGTTAATGGTAGTTACAAAGTTCTCACAAAATCTGAACCATGTGAACCTGACGGTGGCAAACACCACGATAGAGAATGTGCCTAGGAACTTGAATGGAACAAACGGGTGATCAAACAAGAGAGATAAGAACAAGGATAGAGATAGCCAGATCAACATTTATGAAGATGAAAAATATATTTAAGAGTCAGAATATTAACATGGAACTTAGGATGCGGATACTTCGTTGTTAAATTTTTTTCCGCGCTTAGACACTTCTCCAACTGATAGTCCAGGGAAAGACTAGTGAAAAGCAGAACATTGGCAGTGTGTCCTGGCTGGAGAACCTAAGAGATCGGTTTAATTGTAGCAACTGTTCAGAGCTGCAGTCCTAGTTCTGGATTGTTGTGATGATAGCAAACCTCTGATAGGAGATGCACTATAAGAAAAAGAAGGTATCATTTTCTATATTATTTTCCACGTGAAGTTTGAACATTTTTTAGATTGATTGAATGACTTTCTAACAAAATATGATTGGTTTTGAAGGATAAGGAGCAGAAATTGTATTTGATCTCTTTTTAAAAGAAAAGGATATTAATCGTCATGATGTAAATTATCCTCTCCCTAGTCTGATTTGACGTGAATATCAAAGTGAAAGAGATCAGTGTTTTAACCAGGGGCTTTAGATTTAGATCTTCGAATGCATGATTGCTGCAGGTTCCTCTCAGAAATTTTGCAGAGTACCTTCGTAATAAATTATGCAACTTTTTAAGCAGCTGCATTGCTTAGTAGAGCAGCTTCCTTTATAGGCGTAAAAATTACTTTCATGATTGCCTATTGCTTCAGAGGTACATTCTAAAGTCAATTCAAGTGGCTTCAGTATAAAATATTGACGAACCCCAACCTACACTCAAAGAACAAACTATAGGATTGCAACGATCTAGAAAAATGGACCATTACATGAACTTAAAATGCAAAAAGATAGTTTTCTGAAAATAAAAATAAATTAGGTAATTACAATTGCATAAAACTCAAATTAAGATTTTTTTTATAAAGTAGGTAGCTTATGAAAAGTTTTCTGGAAATACCATAGGGGATAGTTTTGCAGAGCAAACGATAAAAACTGGAAGTCAGAACTAATCTGTTGGGAACCCTCCCAAGCAAGTGTTCCTCTTCTTTCTAGGAGGTGGTCTTGATTAATTAATCAGGTAACATCACGATGTTCCTGAACCTGAAGAAGAACCCATAAATTAGGCACCGAAAAGACATTGAAAGCAAGGCTCGCGGCTCGATTAATAAAATTGTAGGGCCAAAGCCGTCCAAGTAACAGATTCATACAAAAATTGACCGGTACACGAGTTATCGGCATCCTTTGATAGATGCACCCTCACATTTTTATGACATCTGTTGCGGCATCTTCAGTTGATCAAATAATTACATATAGCGGAAGAGGAATTTTAGTCAACGTATCGAAATCACGCGAATTCATGTTGGGACCGGATCAAAAGTCTGGTGAAAACAGGATATAGTCTAAAGTCGAAAGTCGAAGAGTAAACGGTCATCAGTCCAGTAAAAATAAAATTTGCGCCTAAAATTAAGTCTTGTATGTGTGTGTTCACAATTGAAAATTTTCTTTCGTAGCTTTATTATTGGACTACTCTGGGCTATTTGAACATGAAATCAGTAAATTTTAATACTAACAATTAATGAGATGATTTCTACATACCTACTTAATTTTCAGATTCCACCTTCATCGAGATCAATTTAAAAAAATGTTAAAAGCATAAGCACTTTTGGCTAAACTGGAAGTTAGATCTGAAGATAAAGTATGTAGAAAGCATCCCATTAATTCACAAAAAAATTACAGGGTGATTCTTTTTTCAGAAACTGTTTTATCCCACATTCTTTTCTATTTGATGTTAATATTTTCTCAAATATCACGGCTACTTTTTACTGTGATTTTTCACTCTTTAAATAACTGCTTCTTCACTGCAATTTGTACTTCCGTTATAATATAAAAATGAAAATCATAAATATAGGGTGTCCGGAAAATAGCGTAAAAAATCTCCACGTAGTAGGGGACCCTTTGAGAAACCCTAGAAAAATGATTTAAAAAATCCTTCTCCAGCATCATTCTTGGTAATATGAAGAGGTAAATGTGGAAATTCATCTTCGAATTCTACAGGTAATCACCTAGGTATTTAATTTAATTCTCTGACATATCGTCAACGGAGTATTTTCAGTGTTGCCAATTTTAATAAATATCAAAATGCAAATAACTTTGTTAATTATTATTCTGGGGTTCCTTGAAGGGTCCTCCACCACGTAGTGAAGAGTTT